GACAGCTTATTGCAAGAACAGACATCTTCCTGTGTGTAAAAATCTATGCTGAGGACCATGACATCCTTCTAAGACTTAATAAAGAGAGAGAGGGGGAGAAATAAAGGAGCAGTTGAAGACCGGTGCCAGAAGAAGACAGATGAAAAAGGAGGTAACAAGAGAGACACTGAAAAGACAYTGAGCTCTCAGGAGAATTTTTTGGAAGTCAATGGAGAGCTGCAAGTATCAGACAGATGTGTGTGCATGCATACAAGTTAGCAGTTTTATGCAGTGAACTTTGCAATATTAATATATTTGGGGGATGATCAGCATTTATGACATAGAAGCTCAGCAAAGAGATAGATAAATGAAGTCTGTGTTCGTCTTTTTTGTCTACTAGTGATTAGTGGTATGGCAAAGGGGAACTGAGGAGATGGATGGATGTTTGCCTGAAAATGGAAGTTATGTTTAATGGGATGAATTTGAAAGGGCTGACTTAGTAGGAGAACTTGAACTAAAGACAGTGACCACTGAATCAGCAGATGAATAGAAGTGAACTGGAGTTAGAGGGACAATAATAGCAGTAGGGTCAAAGAAATTGACCGATTGGGGGTTTAAAAAGAGCTGAAAGATAAATTAGTCAGTGATTTGTGGAGGATTTATCTGCACACAGAGCAAGAATCAGTGTATTAAACTCAGGATACCAGAAAGTGAACCAAAACCAGGACTTAGTGAAAACTCGCTAGAGATCTTCGAAAGCTGAGGCAGTAGCTGATGCTTTGACATGAAAGAAATGACAAGGAAAAAGGGACAGTGAGAGAGACAAAAGGCAGGAGGTTTCACCTCAAATCAACAAAGGCTTGATGGCTTAGCTGAAGAATCACAACAGGTTTCTGTAACATGTTAGACCTTTAATTACATTCGCAGCCAAGATGCATTTACCCACATTCCTGCTCTGAAATCTGTCTCCTTCAATGTAAAGGTGAGGTACTAAGTAGTGGGCTTACAGTGCTTTAGCACTGGATTCTTGCTAATCACAGCAGTATGTCAGTGAGATGTCACTAAAATAAGTTGTGTTACATCCACTTATCTTTCCCAGAAACAAGGAAAGGATCTGGCCTTATTTCTCATAAATCCAAAGAATGCACAATGCATATGCTTGACTGTTGTAAAATGCTGACATTTTTTCTTCCCCATTTCCTTAATGCTGTAAGAAGGTTATTGCCCAATTTTATACAATTACGTGGAATATATTATTGTTGGAATTGACATACACACTTGGAGGTTATCATGCAGCTAAAGTATTATATTTTTCCCCACGTTGAAGGAACTCTCTAGAGTTTCTTCTATTCTTTAAAAGAATTTACTATATCCAGAAACTAATGCTCACTTATTAACTGGAGGAAAATTGAATTAATGACTATGGTGTGAGCAATTTGGTGGGTGAGGACATGAAGGCTTCAGTTTTAGCAATCCGCTTACTGCTAAACAGAAATTTCAAAATGTACCTTTTTGTTTGTTTGCTTTTTATTTGTAGGCTTTGTTTGTTTGCTTGTTTCCCAGAATTTTTACATATCTTCATGCAGATTTTGGTAAGACTCACAATAATTGTCACTGTTGCTTGAAATGGATAACTGTGAGTATAGAATGCATAAATTTTCTCCTTCATGACTACMCATTGACTTTTATTTACCTCTGTGTCATCAGTATATTTAGTGGGTRTTAACTGAAGTTAACAGTGGGTTCAACTGGTAGGCAATTCTGAGCTGAAAAACTCAGATATATCAAATTGCATGTTAATCAACTCCATTTTGAATGAAGTAACTGGAAAACACCATCTCAGTAATATTTATTACATGTAAAAAAAATTGTTGTATATGTAAAGAAAGTATAAGTTATTTGTTTAAATCATTAAACCAAAAGAGCTCAAAGAAGAGCAGTTACCTTTGAAATATTAGCATTCCATTTTTTATCAAGATAGATTTACTGAGATCATATACTTTTAAGTTGGATAGAACCAATTTTCCATTTAAAACAGTGTGATGTTTGTTAGATATATGATCTTGTTTTCTTCTTTAAATAACAGGTTATGGCCTGAAGACTCACTTCTTCAGAAATACTAAATATAATTGATCACAGTAATTAAAGTAAAAAAAATTGCTTAATAAAATTAATAGCTTTAGCCAGATCTACATGAAAAGTTATGTAATTTTTCTACTTGAATAGCCATGCTTTAACTTAAAAGTAATTAACTACACATTGGAGAGCTGCTCTTTTAATTTTCTTTGAATGTAGATTGTTCAAAGAAGTTACATTACATTTTGATGACTGATAACACAGTTCTAACACAATTGAAAAGAAAAGTAAGTAAATAGTTAATATTATGTTGAATGTGAACAGAAATTGGATTCTAAATTAAAAACTTTTTTATGGTTGACAGCTATATTTCAAATTTTCATAAGTCCACCTAAAAAAGTTTTCTTTCTCTAATACTGTGCAGGAATCTATGTGGATAGCTGTGCTCCTTTCTCTGCTGAAATACAGATATTGAACAGACATTTAGTTGAAAATTATCAGACTTAATAATACTGCCTGATTCTCAACTGCTGTTGATAGCTCTGGAAGAACCAGATTAAAAAATAGTGTGAAATCTAGCTGTCTGAAAGTGAAAAGGAGATGGACTCCTTATAAGGGAAATACATGTAATGTAGTCAGTTTAACTGATCAATTAAAATATTTAAATGTGTGGCAGATTTATATTCTATACATAAAAATATACGCAAACTACACTAAGAGTCAAGCTGTTTATCAGTTTGCATATTTTCATGGGCTCTGTGCTCTACTGTACTTGTAACTGTGATGTTCATTATCAAGTAAAGGCATGATAATATGGAATTCTTGTTTAAAACCTGCACCCTGTAGAAGTACTCCTTAGATTCTAAAACTGTATAAGTACTGATATAGTTTAGGTATTTTATGTCACAGACAGAACACAGAAAAATGTAACAAAAAACAAAACAMAACTCAGAGCTCAYAGAACATTCACTTCATTCAACCTTTATGTTTGTTGATCAATTTAAATAACATTTATTTCAATAATTTACTTTTATTTTGTTCCTTTGAGAGAAGTGAAAAGAATTTCCCACCAAACTTTGGGTATACCCAGAAAATTACACAACTGCATGCAAAAATGCTGATCATCCTATCCAAATTGGCCCACTGGTCATGCAGAAAGGGATTTTGCTGGTGGAGTGAGTGCTCTTTCTGAATAACTCAACATTATTTGAAATTTTAAGTTTTCATTCAAGTTCCTTGAAAAGTCAYAGTCCTCATGATCAAAAGTATTCATTCATTGTAAAACAAATAATAAATCCCTAACTGGATTAGTCACCTATTTCCACAAGATAGCCTGCAGGAAGAAGTAAAGATATCACAGGAAACTCTTCTGCTAAGAATATTCTGGCTTTTTGCCACTAAAAGAGGACAGGACATTATTTTGGGCACAGAACTGGAATTCTGTTGGACAGGATATGGCTGCTCAGTCCTGGGTGACAGGAAAGGCTTCATGTCTATACAAAAGATTTGAAGTAAGAGAGGAAAAGAGATGATGGAGAGGAGGAAGAAATTATGCACTTTCCTCCTAGTCTTAACTAACAAAAATTTCTCTTCTGTTGTCAGGACCTCACCCTCTTTTAATGAGGGAGAAAATCTGGGGGGAAATCATGAGGGAAGAAAAACAGTAACTTCCTAGATGTTGACAGGATAGACAGAAAAATTATACATATTCCTGTGTGCAGTCTTTGCCCATCTAAGGTGGTGTGACTGTGATTCTTTGTAAAAAGTTTAACAATTTTAACTATGCAGAACTTTTTTTCCTTTAAAAAAATTATATAAAATAACTCACTTATTTTCTTACATTGCTAGTCTTAAAAACATGACTAACCCTGTTGGACATTCCAAAAACATCAAAGTCTCATTTCAGACAATATCCACATCATTCAAAAATGTGAAACTAACTTTATAAAGATCTGAAGTAAACTACGTGTATACACCAATGTATTCAGGAATAAATTTTCACTGACCCTGAAGATGGTTGTCATCCTTCCACTATATTTTCAATTGATTTCATTAGATTCCTAATTAGTCATGTGCTTTAAAACCAGAAGTTTTATAGGTCGCATAACTGATTTTTTAGTTATTTTTCTACGATATGAATACTTTGTTAATAGCAACAAAATCATTGAAGGCTTCATGTATTTTGGATGGTTTGAATCCAACTGTGATTACAAAGCAAAGGGACTTTTCTGCACATATTAGGAGCTAAATTTTAAAATCTTATATTTAAATTAATATTTTTAGTAACTGTAAATAAGAATTTTTGTAATATAAAATTAAAAAGTGTTTCTAGCATTCTGACACTATTGCTTTGATACTGTTACTATTATATTATGTTAAAAATATTCTCTGTGAGGTAGCTGATAATTTTTACTGTGCAAATTGTAAGTCAGCTTTTCTTGTGTTTTATTAGACATCATCTGTAAACCACAAAAAATCKAAAGTAGTCAGTCAAATGCCTCCAAGCAGTGGTTCTACATCTTCTCCCTCATCTTTTACAATGTACTATTAATTCCTCCTGGCAATATGATAATTTTTGGATTATGGAGACAAAGTATGCAATGTTTTCCTGAGAGCACATCCCTGGAAGAGACAGAGACAAGCAGGAGATTCAGCTGGTACGTAGTAGTCAAGGCATGGACAGGATTAAAGGGACAAAGTGACAAAGCAGCACAGAAAGCTGGACAATAGGGAGCCAGAGATCCCTTTGCAGGAGTTTTTGCAAGACTCAAAAGGATAAAACTTCTCACAAATTACATGGATGTCCTGCAGCTTTGACCTTGTYACCTCCAATGCCCAAGCCAATACACCGTTGTCTTGTTCCGCTCTCCTGCTGCTATATCACCTGAGGGTATAATCTACTCACTTGGAGTACCTCCATCTCAGAGCAAAACATGAMGTCTTACCTCCACAATATCTGAATTTGTTCGGCTTTCATGCGGCTCATTATACTCAGTGTATTTCAGTAACACTTTGTCCATATCAGTGCTGGCATACTGGAACAGTTTGTTGGTGCTGTTGAAGATGATCAGAGCAATCTCACAGTCACACAGAACACTAAGCTCATAAGCCTTCTTCATCAATCCAAATTTCCTCTTTGTAAAAGTCACCTGGAAAAAAAAGTACGGAATCTCTCAGAAATCCATAAGCTGCCTTCTGTAGTTTTTCTTTTTTTTCCTGAAATATGTGTGAGTGCTGTAGTCTTTGAATTGAACATGCTCAGAAAACAAATGCATAAACACAAATGCAGTTTCCAAATTGAATATATATGTGCCATATGTGGGAGGAAATATACCTAATTATCACCTCATAGTATTTGTATTTGGTGGTGCTATGAAGTATTGATAATGCATGTCTCTCTGTAACTTTTAAATTTGGATACCCTTTAGACTGCATACATTTTTCCCATCCATATTTAGAAACTGCATCTTTGATTGGCAAGTGTTTGAACAAGTGCAGTCAATTCTGAGTTTTTTTTTTTCTGAGTGATAGCAATTGATCTTGATTTCAAGACCCCCAACTGCTGCTAGCTTTGAAGCAAACAAATTATTTCATAAGCATTTAAGTAGTGCAAAAGAGATACATTGCTCATATAAACACAATCGTTTTGAAGAAATACCTAGTGTTAAAAATTCACACACTCATGAGAAATGAGAATTATAAAGCAAAATGAAGAAAAAACAATAGCTGGTCAGCAGCCTTTGAAACAAGATCTTTTCTGAACACATACATAGCGTATTTTATTTCATTTCAAGCTATATGCTTAAAAATATGAACTGGCATTTTTTAGTATGTGAGGCTTTAGATCATATTATATAGGAAAGAAATAGTGATGTGCTTACAAGTTCTCAGTAGGCCAGCTAATGCCTTGACATCATAAAAAATCCAGGCAGTATGAAAATTGTAATTAGTAATTGTGTACAAATCCATAATTTTCCATGGGGACTGTTTTGACAATGAAAGACCTGCACATCAAGTGTTATATTCCCTCTTCTTTTATGTATTTGCTTACAAGTTTCAGTAAGACATGTGACTCAAAATAAGAAACTACAAAGAGCTGTTTAAGAGAATTCCATGGTTGAAATTTTCTCCTCTCTTTCTTTATATGCACAATTGTTATTAAAATATTTTCCCTGACAGGGATTTTTTAGAGAAAAAAAAGTTTTTTCTAAGCCTAAAATTAATCAAACTTAACATATAATCAAGGTACTTGGTATGTCAAGGACAGGCATGAAACCAAGTTTATGTGGCCACCTGATTCTGCATTTGTTACTACCATTTCTCACATACTCATAACCTGTGTCCCCTCTGTACTTTAATGCTGAGGCAAGAAGATCTGTCTGTATGCGATTCATACAGCTGCTGTTCTTACCTTAACTTCTAAAGCAAATTAATTCTAACTGTAACCCCAGACTACCTTAAAATCCCAGCGTGTCAAGCCAAGGAAAATGTGACTTTAAAGTATTTTAAAGTGTTGCTAATCCCTATTTGTTAGACTGTCTCAGAAAGATGAGGCTCTGTGCCAATACTATGAACATTTATTCTCCCAAATGCATACTGGATGTTATTTCCCTCATTGTAATTTTAGCCTCTGTTGACATACTGTTAAGAAAAGTTGGATTTCCACAAAATACAATTTTTCAAACATTTGAAAAAAAACCCTTTCTACTGCACTGGTCTCAAGTATGCGTAATTGATAGTTCTTTCCAAATTTGTCTGTCATGGCTTTTGATATTTGGAATGAGTAATGAGATATGTAACAATTCTTCACTCAAGATTAAAAAAAAAAAAAAAAAAAAAAAAAAAAAAAAATTTTTAAAC